ACACCGACCCTGATTCATGCATCTCGCCCCACAGATTTAAATGAACTGACAGATGAACGCAAAGATGATCAAACATATTGTTGAGTCGGCTTTCCGATAACTGCAACGGAGCCTCCAGAGGCCTTAAAGGCGCCGAAGAGTCCTAGCCAATCAAAGCATGATGGAGCATTCTAGAATGTCAACGTGGCATGCTACTATTGATCAGTAGCATAATATGTCTTTTAGCGGATTGGCCAAAATATGATTTCGATTTAACAAATGTTAACATCTATAAATACCCGTGTTTTTCTGTACAAAAAATGAACCTTTGGAGTAAAGTGTTTGTCGCTTATTTTGCGCCTTTTCTCTCTAGTTCAGGTCTCTGCGTAGTTCTAGCTTGCGGATAACCAGGATAGCATAGGAACCGAATAAAGCGTTCAAATTAACAAAACTTATCACATATGGCCTTATCTTTTAATGATATGAAAGATAGATTTTTGTTTTGATAGTTGGCCTTAGCTTTGCTGCAAAGAATGTACACGTAGTTGCTTCTGACAGGACGTTATTAAGTACACCGAAAGTTTTACCAGTTTAAAATTTCAGATTCATTCAATGTTCATCTAGAAAACTAAATTTCTGGGTCATTATTTAAGTTTCTTTCTTGTTTTTGCATCGAAAATCCCTTTTAGACAATAGGTTCTAGATAGACCTTTTCTGTTGAAATCAATTTCTCACTCAACGTATCACGGACGTTACGTTAAGTGTCAGTTAGCATGATGAGTCAATAGGATTTTGAAGTCTGTTTATTGCCACCCATCTCCAGTAGTTAGTTTCCTACTCCATTTTCGTCGAATAATATTACACGACCGGCAATTTTTTTTAGAAAAAAACCTCCACCCCAATGAAAAATTTTTCCACCCCCAAATTACAATATTTTTCATCCCGTGTTTCGTCCAATGAAATGGCTAGTTTCAAAAGTTAGATTTAATTGGTCAGTTATGTCTTGAAAATTGTTATAAATTATCAGTACTTGTCGACGAAGCGCATTTCAATCGTCATTATGTAGCAGAGTAACGTGACAAGTACAAGCGCTGGTTGCGTTTCCATCGGTTGAAGCGTTAAAGACCACTACCACAAATTTTGAAAGATCGACTTACAGTCATTATGTAGTGAGAGATTCGCATATTGGCAGAAATCAGAAATCGTACATTAAATTTGTGTGTTATAAGTCCATAATTTCAATATTTTATAAAGGCCAAAAATAAGGCATACCATTAATGAATTTGATAATGTAATGTGTTAACAATGGTGAACGTTTACATCTTTTACGACATATATATATACTTACAAATTGTAATATTTTCAAATTAGAAAGGTCATTCAATAAAGGTCTGGATTATTTGCAGTAATGTGTTCAGTCACAATAAGTGACTAAGCATTATAGAAAAATTGAAAATGCAAAAAATTTTGTGTCAATGAAATGCATAGTATGAGAATTGAATCTTGTCAATTGACAAATAATAATAATAATAATAATAATAATAATAATAATAATAATGATCATAAGGAAAATAGATAATAATAACATTGTAAATGTTCATTGATACAGTTGACCTTATTCATATTTATACGTTGAATGTCGATAGATATTTGTTGAGTCAGTCAGACGACGTAGGCTTGTTCATTGACACTTCATGAAACTAAACGGTATATATATACGAATGTACAGCTTAAGTAAATGATTTCGTCGAAAAGAAAATTTTCTTCAGTGAATGCTGTTTTTCTTATTCAATGACACTATGGATTATTTTAATTAGATAAGAGAAAATTAGATTTGATTAAGACAGGTTGTAAGTGCATAAGAAAAACTGGGTCACTCACCCCGCGTAGAAGCGCTTCACACAGGCGATCTGTCTCTAGACCACGAGAGACGGATAAACCTGACTGGTGCTGGTAGCATAACCAGTATGGAAAATGTTCCAGAAATTGCAGAAAACCCTGCAATGTTCGCAATTCACAATCGAATGACACGAAAAACAATTCAGGAACATTCCCAACCGGCACGCGTTAACGGCAGCCGTATGTATCGATAATCTATGTTAAACCATTACTTACTTTTACTTTACTTACGCCTGTTACTCCTCGTGAAGGAGCATAGGCCACTCACCAGCATTCTCCATCCAATCCTGTCCTGGGCAATCCTTTCCAGCTCCTTCCAGTTCTAATTCATCCTTTTCATATGTGCTTCTATTATCCGACGCAATGTGTTCTTAGGCCTTCCTCTTTTCCGCTTCCCTTCAGGATTCCAAATTAGGGCTTGCCTCGTGACGCAGTTTGACGATTTGCGTAATGTATGTCCTATCCATTTCCATCGTCTTTTCCTAATTTCTTCTTCAGCTGGAAGTTGATTTGTTCTCTCCCACAGAAGGCTATTGCTGATGGTATCCGGCCAATAGATGTTGAGTATCTTGCGTAGACAGCTATTTATAAATACTTGTGCCTTCTTGATGTTGTTGTTGTAGTTCTCCAAGTTTCAGCTCCGCCTGTAGCTCTTCTAGAGTTACTGCCGGTCTCAAGCCCGGGTAAAGGAGGAGGGTTGTGCATGGGGTTAGCGTCCCCATCCCGTAGGAAAGTAACTCGCTATAAAAGCGCTTACCAGAAAAAATAATTCAAACCTTGTCTACATAGGTAGTATGTAAACCAATCACAAGTTGAATGTCTCTCAAAAGAAGCTTGAGGAGATAGCACTGAATAAAACAGAATAGGGAAGCATGAAGTGATTGAGAGATGGAAGAATCATGAATGATGTAAGGATAAGTGATGTAGGATTTGGAAATGAAGTACTCAATGTAACTCTATAATTTTGCATTGAACAATAAACTAGTATTCCACACCTGAGTTATCCACTAACTACATTACTTGTAGAAGAAATAAACATTACACTGAATGGATAATAATTCACATTTCTTGATAAGCTTGTAGTCAAATTCACTTCGCATCTTGTTATAAGAAATCTTGGAAAATCATCAGTTGGTCAACTAAAAGCAAAATCTCCTCATGAACTGGTTCATCTATTTGTAAAAACGTTCAATCATTTGTATTGTGCATTGGTTACAGTTGAAGAAATATTGTCCATTCCATGATTCATAATTCATTTCTGGTTTATATATATATATTGTGGAATATTAACTTTGTAGAGATTATGTGCTTACCATTTTAGTACATAGAATTCCAAAATTCACTCAGACAGTATTCACCTTCAAAACCAAGTTTTCTAACTGGATCAATGGAAGTCTGATTGGTAGTCTTTCTCTGAGTGATGAAAACTCCTCCTCAGCATCGTGTGGAAGTGTTCAATTTAACATTGTACCTGGTTCAAACTACTTACCAGTAGCTATCGATGGAACAACTGGTATTTTGAAAGTAATTGAAAGTGATTATGAAACAATGAAGAATAATCACACCATCACTTTTCAAGTGACAGTTAGGAATGCAAATACTTCCTAAATATATCTGATGATGCAATGGTCAACATTTTAATTGATGAAGAGTATTCTGACGAAGAAACAGGAAGTGAAATCACTGCAGTCAAGAGGGTATGATCTCTGTTTATTGTAGTATTTTTTGAAAATGAAACTGCAGTTTTTGTCATTGATTTCACAATTGGTAAGCTGCCACTGATAGTGATTGATGACTTGTTTCAATTGACACTGTAGTAACCTGTTTCTTTGAAACAGGCATAACAATATGATCAACGGTTCTTCAAATCTTATATCATAGTTCTGAGCCTTGATGTTCAAACAACAACAACAACAACAGAATATCAACACGATTAATGGTATGTTACCACTGGAGACAACCTACAATTCAGATGAACGTCAAACTCTCATAAAATGCTACGAATAATCATTTTTGTCAAAAGTGTTAACTTCCAAGTATGAAAACTACTTAAAATAATGGTATTAGTAAGGGTTGTAAGTAGGTATAATGGTATTTGAATTCGTGTGCATTTCACAGTCACTTATCTTACAAAACAATGTGGTGTTTCAGATAGCAACTTTCATTCATTAATGACTTCGGTTTAATAATTCCGATGTTAATGAAATAAAATAGTGTTTTCATCAGGACGTTGTGATTCGATTCAGCAAATGTGAACAGTAAGATATAGAACAATGATGTGTACTAGCCAAATTCATTATGATTTCAGGTTTTCAGATGAGTAATGTCATTTTTTGTTCTTTATAGGGCGTTATAGTTCCACCAAATACTATCAATGTCACATTTTCCAGAGTATACATCCAAGATAATCCAAATTATTGTCTATTTGATACATGGTTTATTGATTCGGTAATTGTCCTTCCACCTGGAAATAATAGTTTGATCATGAAATTTTCTGGTCCGTCTCTAAATAATGTCTATTACGGATATGTACAATATTTGTTTGCTTACTACAACGGTTCAAATATAGCAAATAATTATACTGTGAAGTTTAGTAATCTCACATACTTGAACAATAATTCCTCGGTAAGGATATGAATGTAGTTTGATTAATTTTACTGTTTACAGCATTTTCTGTTAGAGATTGTAAATGTATGTGTAACAAGGAATGTCCAGGTAAATATACATATGACACCTCTTGATTCATGTCACAAGATGTTGGTCGTTGTGATTTGATGAAAACTTTGTGAAAGTCTCAGGGTTGTGGATATCCATTGCACTTCAGAAAATAATGAAGCATATCTAGTAGGTTTCTAAAGCACATGGTTATGTACGGAAACATTCATCATGGAAACAGTAAACAAACGTGTTTGATTTATGTTCACAAATGATAAAATACACTTCGTCCAACAAACAATAAATGTGTATAAAAATGAAAAGTTCCTAGATAATTCGAATTACATTATGCGAACACAATCAGGTTTTCTGAATTCACTTTGTGTATAGGTATAACCCTTAGTTAACAGTCTCTTATGAAGCTGATATATCGTCTAATCCTTTTCTCCTAGCCTTCAAGTTTCCTAATGACAAGTCAAATACTCGTTTCATCTGCTCCTGCGGATGATGAGAAGAACTTCAGTATTAGGATGAGATTCAAAACTGGTCTTTTTCCTGAAAGAACACCTCCTCCAATGGGTACCAGTTTAGTAGTTACAACGGAAGCATTACTGACTCCAAAAATTACCGTGGATTTTTCCATGGTTATCTCTTCAAACTGTCCAACTCAGTATGATGCAGTTAATTTCATAAAGTGTCCTCAGTCGGTTAATTATGGTGGAGTCTATGATTATTCTGTGAACTTCTTTATAAGTAGACCAATAGGAGATTATACGGTAAGTTAGGATTGATATACTTGCATAAGAGTTTGCTAACTTTGTTTTGTTTTTGCATAATGCTTTTATCGAATTACATGATGTGTTTTTCAGGATGTATTTTAACATAAAGAGAGGTTTTTATAAAGAGTGCTATATAATCAATAGTTTCATACAATGTTGTAGCATGATACAGGTCGCTGTAAAATATCACCTTACACTTCATCATACCGAACTTAAGTCTAATGTTGAAAGATAGTTTACTTGAACAATAAATGAAGGTTGGTTTGTTCTCACTACCAGACATTAACTTCTGTTTCAGATGGGGCTACTTCATAAAATCCGTTTGTAGGTTACCCAGATTTGTTAGCCATTTGAGTCAGCCAGTGTTGCCATTCGATATTTATTTCAAGTATATCAATTAATTTTTGTGAAAAACTCATCATTTCACCAATCTGTTAAATGTAATACTCATTTTTCTCATAAAACCAATATTCGTGATTGTATGTTCGTAGTTTGTTACCCTGCAATAATATAATCTTGCTGTTGATTAACGTAAATAAGCTACTTCTTACAGTTCAAACTATTCAAGTTATCAACTTTCATTTATCATTAACGTTAAGTCGATTGCCGTATCAAAGCCCACAGTGTTTCAGCAGAGATACAGATGCTGGGAAGTATTAAGTCTTCTTATCATGCTTCGAATTCTTCTACTGTCCAATATTCTTGGAGACTTCAATTTACTTGACTGGCTCTTGATTCGAAACACCACTGACACAAAATCGTATATATATTTCAAAGGAATAAAATAACAAAATATCAGTTGTATATGTATGTAAACTTAAAATAGGGATACTCTAGCTTCCTTTCATCAATTAGAGCTGATTGGTTGAAAAATGGGTCAGCCATGTTAGAATTAAAACTGACAGTGAACAGTTTGAATAAATCAATGTCATACTGATAAATAATGGAAATGATATTTATTTAATGGAAGGTCAAAAATGGGTAAACAGACTAGGAATAGTAGTCACAAAACATTAAAATCATTACGTAATAAGATGTATGTAACTTAACTAACGATTTATTTTCATTTTTATTTTTATTTATTTTATTCTGTTTTGTTATCATTAAGCTTATTTCTACATCCATTATATGCTTGTAATTTTCCGCCTCTTTATATTCTTCACTATCTAATTATTTACACACATCTTATTACGTAAATCTTATTTCGTAATGATTTATTTAATCCTCTATATGATCATACCTTCGAATTTGAGATTCTCTGATGAATAGAAAATGGAATGGATCAATTTAGAAAACAGGATTTTTGTGAAAAAAGTTACTGGGAATCAGTTAGTGATGTTTCAGAATAAATCCTGTTAAAATCGTTTCTGGATATCAAAGGAATTCGATGATGGTTATTCTAAGTATATGACTTGCTAACTAGATTTCTATTTCATAACCTATTAGTACTCTGATTTCGATAAAAAAAATAATGATACTGATAAAAATAAATAATAATAATTATTAATTCTTCTTGAATCCTCCAAATCACTTGCATTCAGTCTCCTATATTATCATGTTTATATGATAGTGTTATTTGGATAGAAATCGACAATCGACAACTTGTAGCATCATTCAAACGATTTATAAATTTATGTAATATATGGATGTACTTTTTGATCATATGGTCACAGATGAAATATATTTCTGATTGTTACACTATGTTAGATTATTGCAAAACTTATAATGAGTGTAAGCAATCTAATTAATCCTACTCTGATTTTGTTCACAAACATATTTCGCTGAATGAACCACAAGATATGAATATCAAAATTTATTCATATTGCCTAATGATTTTTTAATCCCATGTATATACTTGACTCATTAATGGATATTTCATAGTGTACAGGAGTCGCTTAAGTGAGGTGATTATTTCCAAACTATTCTCATCAATCAGTATTGTTACCTAGCTAAACTGGAGTGATTTAATTACTTATAGCTCTTTTTCTCTTTTTAAGACTGAGTTGACCAATCTTGATTAGCTTAACCGAAACACCCAAATTGTCGAACTATCTCGGTTTTGGAAAGTAATCTCGGAAGACTTGTAATGCATAGAATCAAGAAGTAAATGTTCATTGATTCTTATGGTCAGTTTTATTCATTTAAATCATGCACATTTTGCACAAAACTATCCGTAAAAAACATGTTCCTTGTTGTTTTCGATCTACAGATAATCAGTATAAACATACAACAACACATGTGAACTGAATGCACAACACAGTTCCATAGTAGATTTTCTTCGCAGACAGAATCACCATATAGTAGAAGCAGTATAGAAATGTATCCAAGGTTTTCTACTTACCTTCCATTATCAGCACAAGCCAGATGCAATCAATGAAAAATTGTTTCGCTAATCGCAAATAAAACTAATATAAAGTTCAATTATTAGGTATATTACCAAATCATTTCGATTTACATTAGACGATTATGAATAATAAAAATTCATTGCCTAAAAGTAGTTTCTCTAAGCTTGAAAATTATTCAGTTTATTGTAGGATAGTGAATAAATGTGTCAGGTATTAAAATTATATATATATATATATATATATATATATATATATATATATATATATATATATATATATATATATATATATATATATATATATATATATATATCCCTTCATTCATACTATCATCAAAAAACTGTGAATATTCTCATTATCGAATCCCACATACAGACAAACTTACCAGTTATATGTACTGATTTGTTTGATAGTTCACATTCAGCACTGATCAATACAGTGCTTCGATTGGACATATATCTTTAACTCTATCTCCAACATTTGCTACCTATCCGGAAGGCTACAAAATAAATACGGAGGAATTCGTTACATCGAATGCCGTACTGACAACTTTCGGCTACGTAAGTGTTACAAATCTACTGAGTCTAGGTAAGTTTATTTTAAAATTATCAGTATTTATCGAGAATGTTCACAATGCTTGGTTATAAAATTAAGTATATGGTCACCGAAACCTTAGTAGGCGATTTTATCATCTATTTGAAGCGCATTTATGCAAAGTCCAATTCTCATAAATTCTATCATCAAGAATGCAGTTAATAGATGCATTCAGTGTTTCAGAATACTGAATAAAACATTTTTGATCATTGCTGATAAAAAACCTTAGTTCAGTGCTTATTCTACATCAGTATTTAATCAAGAATGTACATATTTCCAGTCGTTTTATTTTATTCACCTTACTATAACAACAGGAGAGACGAACTTTATATTCACCGTCAATTCATCTACAATGAGAGTCTTTCAATTTATCATTTATGAACAAAACCGTTTATCAGTTAAGTGAAAGTTTTTACAGGATGGTCATAAACTCATAAGCTATTCAGATAGCTATAAAATAAAAGTAAACACTGAACACTAATTGAATAGAACGCAATCCCAATTTACTTCTAGATGTTTGTCACTTTGAAATTATTGTAAAACAAATGGCATATGACGATCAATAATGTGGAACTTAGTTATAATAAAATAAACTAGGTAACTAACTGATATAAACTACCGACAAGGAATTGAGTGCAGTTAAATCAACAAGGAATCCTGTATCGCCTATACGAAATAGTCATCAATGGGAGCGTTAGAGGTATTTTTGATTTCATTTCTAAAGTAGAACATGAAGACTAAACTGGGGAATAAATGATATCTCTAGATGATGCACCATAGCTTACCAATGTACCGTAAACGGAAACAATTGAATCAGTGAGTCGACAGCTACACAAATAATAAAACAATATTGGAATTTCCGAGGTTAGCCTTATAGAATTACTTTTGAAATGTACAGTGAATCTTCATTTTGTCTTCAATCATACATATCACAGATACATCGACGAAATGTCAATGGGTTCTCTTCTAGGTCGTGTCCTTCCTGAAACTAGAAAGCGGACCTCTAAAATAGATTGTTAGAAGCTTGAATTTAATAGCCGTTACACTGGTGATACTTTACTATCGTCAATCAAAATATTGGAAAAGAATAACTATTAAAGTGACTAAAAATATGTACTCAGTAATCAGATTCACATGTGAAGAGAAACTTGATAACAAATTACATTTCTCTAACGTCTTATTAATCAGAAAACAAAACGGTTCTATCACTAGAAGTGTGTATGGAAGAAGTTCTTCAGGAAGCCAGTACACACACTTTTTAAAATTTGTGACCATTCATTGCAAGAGAAACTTAGTTAGATATCTTGCAAGTAAAGGTAGGAAGATGTCCTCAAACGACACTAAAAACAAGGGACTAGAGTGTGAGTAGGTGAGAATACAAATTTTAACCACAATCGGTTTAATGTGATTCTGTTTTACTAGGTTTTCATTATTATTATTATCATAGCTATTGTTATTATTATCTTCATCATCAAGACGAAATTATCCTACTATGCACTTTATCACACTGTCATATTGATTGTAACTTGACACCTTATAACAAATCATTCTGACCTTTAGTAAGTGATCTATCTAATTTACTAATGGTAATTTTGATGTAGTTATGCTGTAAGAGATGCGAAATTCATCAACATTGTTTCAGTAACTAACATGCTTTATATTATCCTTTATAATGTAAGACAAATATTATGAATTTACAACTATAGAGACTGATGACGAAGTTACTGAAAATGATTGTTCCCACAGATATTCTTTGTTTTTGTACTTTTAACTTATTATGGTTATTTATGTGATCTATTCCACTGTTATCCTTGACTCACAAACTCCCTTGATTGGTTTAATATTTCCATGTATGCATATAAATATCATGTTATATTAGAGTAATGTCTGATGAGGATCTAATTAGCAACATTATTGTCCACTTATATAAGATTTACATACTGAAAACACCATAGTTTACTCAGTTAAGGAACATAATATATCTAAATTGATATATTGTGAACCAAGTGAAGATTATTCCAATAACAATAAAAGATGATTAGTTTCTTGTGGCAATATAAATACGATGATGAAAATTCAAATATTTAGAGGCTTATTATAGACCTCCAATTAACAAGATATTACATTTTATCAACTATCATTTCAGAGTTAATAGAAGCTAAGTCGAATTTAATTTCTCATTTAAGCACTTTAGATGAAATGATAATATGTAACATTCCATCGAGTATAAATGAACTTATTAACTGATAATCGATCACACTAATAAGTCGATTAGTATCAGTATGGGGATACACACTGCTGGGGAACCCCACACTAGGACGAAACGGCCATCCAGTGCTTCCAAGTTTTCAATGGTGGTCTAGCTTAGACTGACTCGTGAATTCAACTGTTGAAAGTTGATTAGTACTAAACTGAATATCAATGAAATACTGGTGAAATCACTTTATCATTTCCAATACAATCATGTTTCTGTTTTCCTGGAACATCGTTCAGTGGTATCCGGAGATGATCGTTATTTTTCAGCTAGTTTCATTTTATAATTATTTCCAATGAATTTCAAGTATTTCTGTTCAGACTGGTTGCTCATGTCTGGAAAACTACATGTTCATATATATTTTGCTTTTTCAAATTTCATGTAGGGGCTTATGATACTTCTCTACCAGTGTCCAACCGCTCAGTTCGTCTGACAGTTTTATTCAGATCTCTAACTATAGCTTAACATCAACTAAGTTTGAAGCGAAAGTCTCATCAACAGGAGAAAATTCTACAGTGAATGTTTGTGAGAGTCAAGTCTCCTCATTTACAAATTACATTGCGGTAAGATTAATTTTAAGTATTCTGTGAAAACTAACTTACCTCTTTCTTCAAATATATAGCCTGAAAAAAACTTCATTTCAATAAAGGATATTCCAGTCTTGAATCAGGTTGAAAAGGCTCAATTCTTCACAGTTCAACTAACTGTCACACCAAATACATATTCTTATTATATTCTTGGGGCCAAAATCCAAAATAAAATACTTGGAGAAATGTGTTACATTGAGTACTTGCTAGAAGAAACCAATCAAACACGAAAAGTAAGTTTACTGTGTTGCATCTCGGTAAATCATGCATTTGATCGACGAGCCACTAACATCTGGTGTATTTACTGGTACTCAGAAGTCGTGCACTTTTGAACCTTGAACTGGAAGCAAAAGCAGTGAAACATGAAAAAGTTTTCACTATGAAGATTTAATTAGTTAGAGAAGACGAGGATATCTATAAGACTGACCACATAATTCTAGCAGCTTTGGGAAAAAGCCCCAAATTGGTAATAAATGTAGTAATTTATTTATAGGTATTTGGAACAGTGATATCGAAGCAATCCGCTCAATATGCACAACTAACATGAAGACTGTGTAGTGTGGCGTCAAGTCGCGGTTGACTATGATCACCACTAAGGAAGACTATGTGCCAGTTAACCGATCAGATCCCCCGTAGGCCAAATATCAGAAGGCAGTTGATGGCTGTAGTCGAGATGTATTTGTTGGCGATCTCGTGGTATCAAAAGAATACCGAGATCGTGCCAGGTTACAAGTTGGGTTACTGAGCGTAACGGAATCCGTGCAAGGTCACGAGTAACGGAAAAATATTTGTATTTTGCTACACTTAAACAGACAAGTACGTTTAAACAATTCCTGGTACAACTGGTTATGATAATAATTGTTTCCATTACACCAATCACGTTCTCTTGATAAAAGCAGGTCACTACAACTGATCGAACGCAGCCCTTAATATCAGCAGCGGAAAAAGTAAATCTTTAAAAATGAATTTGTACTCAGTGAATAAGCTAACAGTTATCTAGACTTAACAGTCGAGAACAGAACGCATTTGTGTTTAAAATGACAGTTACTAGGCTCCTGTCTTGATGTGGACGTCAACACTGGTGTACAGGATATAACCATTTGGCGAAGCCCAATTGTGTGCCCTAGATTTCACTGCTAATCTCGATTTAAACTGAATAAAATCCAATCATACGAAAAATCTGTTTATCGAATCCGAATGAATAAAGCATGATCAATTCATTCTCTGACTTTTTTGAAAGTTCCAATGAGTGTTGACTCGTCAGAGAGGTTCCAACATTTTTCTCGGTTTCTATAGAACTACTTGCGAAATTTAAGAGAAATTACAAGAGATTATTTTTAGATTCGGAGATTTCTAAATGACTCAGGTACGACAGAAATAACGCTACCGATGTACATTAACAAAATTATCTTACTTCCTGGAAACAATAAATTACCATTAAAATGTCAAACATTTTGACATTGTACTCAAATGAATACATTATGATTGTAATTATGAAATGAAACAACCCAGTCAGTTCACCATAAATAAGTGAGATCAGTAAACACAAATCCTCCGTTATGTAAATGTATGGTAAATGGAGATAGTACCACTAATCTCAAATATGTAGTAATTGGAAATTTTTTATTGTGAAGGTATTCCATCGAATATATTAACAGCATATGACTGTAAGATAACCTGTCGTAAAATCTCGTTAAGCGAACATTAAAACGAGAATAACTTAACTGATTAACATTTCTATTTGTGAATATTAGTATTTTCATGCTATGATATAATACCAAATCAATAGGACTGGAATTCGGCATATGTATACTCATTAGTGGAAGGTGAAAAAAGACTATCGACTAAACGCATATGACAGGCGTCGAATACCAGTTTAAATTTCGACCACTGATTTTGGAAGTGGAAAGCAACTGACTTAACTATCCTAGGTGTTAATAATCTTAATAAAGACTGGAGAAATTTAGTTATTATATTGCTTACAAGATTATAACGTTTCGCATGGAGCAACGCCTACTGATGAAAGCGATTAAAATGCGTGTTCAGAGTGATTTTCAGAGGTTAGCTATATGGAGTGGAAATGAAGTCACAGGACATGTTACTGGTTTACATCTTGCTTGAAACCAATTATTGTGGAAATTATAATATAATCATTTGCATAATCGAAAAAAACTCGTTTTCCCTACTTCACACCTAGTAAATGAGAAATATAACATGACCATTTTCATTGAATTATCAATATCATCATATTATACCACGGATTCACATATAATTTTATTTCAACAATTATTCTCAAAATATTCAAGTCATACTTCAAACATTCGGAAACTGTTAATACTTACTTACTTACTTACGCCTGTTACTCCCAATGGAGCATAGGCCGCTGACCAGCATTCTCCAACCCACTCTGTCCTGGGCCTTCTTTTCTAGTTCCATCCAATTCTTGTTCATTTTTCTCATGTCTATCTCCATTTCTCGGCGTAATGTGTTCTTTGGTCTTCCTCTTTTCCTTTGACCTTCAGGATTCCATGTGAGGGCTTGTCTTGTGACGCAGTTGGGTGCTTTCCTCAATGTGTGTCCTATCCACTTCCAGCGCTTCTTCCTGATTTCTTCCTCCACTGGGATCTGGTTTGTTCTCTCCCACAGTACGTTGTTGCTAATAGTGTCCGGCCAACGGATCTGAAGTATTTTGCGTAGACAACTGTTAATAAACACCTGTATTTTCTGGATGATGGCTTTCGTAGTTCTCCAGGTTTCTGCCCCATACAGTAGAACTGTCTTGACATTTGTATTGAAAATCCTGACCTTGGTGTTGGTTGACAGTTGCTTTGAGTTCCAGATGTTCCTCAGTTGTAAATATGCTGCTCTTGCTTTGCCGATCCGCGCCTTCACATCTGCATCAGATCCACCCTGTTCATCAATGATGCTGCCCAAATACGTAAAGGTTTTTACATCTTCCAAATCTTCTCCGTCAATTGTGATTGGATTGGTGCATTCTGTGTTGTATCGGAGAATCCTGCTTTTCCCTTTGTGTATATTGAGACCTACTGCTGCTGAGGCTGCTGCCACACTGTTCGTCTTCTCCTGCATCTGTTGTTGCGTTTGGGATAGAAGGGCCAGATCGTCTGCGAAGTCTAGATCATCCAACTGCATCTTAGATGTCCATTGTATCCCGCGCTTCCCTTCAGACGTTGACGTCTTCATGATCCAGTCGATCACCAGGAGAAAGAGAAAGGGTGAGAGTAAGCAACCTTGCCTAACACCGGTCTTCACTTCGAACGACTTTGTCAACTGTCCTCCATGCACAATTTTGCAGTGTAATCCATCATATGAGTTCTGTATGATATTGACTATCTTCTGAGGCACGCCGTAGTGTCGAAGAAGTTTCCATAGTGTTGTTCTGTCCACGCTATCAAATGCCTTTTCGTAGTCAATGAAGTTGATGTAGAGTGATGAATTCCATTCAATTGATTGTTCCACAATGATCCGTAGAGTTGCGATTTGGTCTGTACACGATCTATCCTTACGGAATCCTGCCTGTTGGTCACGAAGTTGGGCGTCTACGCAGTCCTTCATCCTGTTTAACAATACCCTGTTGAAGACTTTTCCCGGTATTGAGAGAAGAGTGATGCCCCTGTAGTTATCACACTTGCTGAGATCGCCTTTCTTCGGTATTTTGATCAGAAGTCCTTCTTTCCAGTCTGTTGGTACTTGTTCCTCATCCCAAATCTTATTGAAGAGAATGTGGAGTATCCTTGCAGTTGCCGCTACGTCTGCTTTTAGTGCCTCTGCTGGGATGTTGTCCGGTCCTGCTGCTTTGCCACTCTTGATTTGTCTGATGGCCATGCTGATTTCTTCAATTGTTGGTGGGCCAACATTGATTGGGAGGTCCGTGGGTGCTGCTTCGATGTTGGGTGGGTTCAGTGGAGCTGGTCGATTCAAGAGTTCTTTGAAGTGTTCTACCCACCTGTTTTGTTGCTCTTCAATGTTGGTGATTACCTTGCCTTCCTTGCTTTTCACTGGTCGTTCTGGTTTGCGGCGATTTCCAGAGAGTTTCTTTGTCGTGTCATACAATTGTCTCATGTTTCCTTCTCTTGCAGCCTTTTCCGCCGTCGTTGCTAAATCTTCCACATATTTACGTTTGTCGGTTCTGATGCTCCTCTTCACTTGTTTGTTTACTTCTGTGTATTCAGCTTGTGCCTTGGCTTTTTCTGCTCTTGTTCGACTGGTATTGATTGCTGCCTTCTTGTTCCTTCTTTCTTGAATCTTATCCAGTGTATCAACAGTGATCCATTCCTTGTGATGGTGCTTCTTGTGACCCAGGACCTCATGACATGTTGAAGTGATTGCCTCTTTGATCCCCTTCCAGTTGCTCTCCACAGTAGTTCCTTCTCCATTGAGTAGATCATGAAAGGCCTGGAACTTGTTGCTGAGGACTATCTTGAATTTGTTGAGTTTGTTAGTATCCTGAAGAAAGGCCGTATTGAACTTTTGTGATATTGTCCGCCCCGTTGTCCAGTGCTTCTTGAGTTTCAATTTCATCTTGGCGACCAGCAAGTGATGATCTGATGCTATATCAGCTCCTCTCTTGGTTCTCACGTCCTCTATAGTCCTCCTGAACGTTTTGTTGATGCAAATATGGTCGATTTGGTTTTGTGTAGAGTGATCCGGTGAAGTCCATGTGGTTTTGTGTATGCGTTTATGTGGGAATATGGTGCCGCCTATGACCAGCTTATTGAAGGCACATAGATTTGCAAATCTCTCACCATTTTCGTTTCTTTCTCCCAGTCCGTGTCGTCCCATGATGTCTTCATATCCAGTGTTGTCCGTTCCAACCTTGGCGTTGAAATCTCCCATCAGAATGGTCAGGTCCTTTGTTGGGCACTTCTCGACGATTGACTGCAGC